GTTGTTGTTAATGTTGCTGCTGTTCCTGCTGATGTTGTTGTTGTTGCTGCTGTTCCTACTGATGTTGTTGTTGTTGCTGCTGTTCCTGCTGATGGTTTGTTGTTGGGGCTTTTTCCTGCTGATTGTTGTTTGTTGCTGCTTTTTCCTGCTGATGTTGTTTTGTGCTGTTCCTGCTGATGTTGTTGTTGTTGCTGCTGTTCCTGCTGATGTTGTTTTTGTTGTTGCTGCTGTTCCTGCTGATGTTGTTGTTGTTGCTGCTGTTCCTCGATTTTGTTGTTAATGTTTGCGCTTTTCCCTGCTGATGTTGTTGTTGTTGCTGCTGTTCCGCTGATGTTGTTGTTGTTGCTGCTGTTCCTGCTGATGTTTTGTTTTTTTGCTGCTGGTTCCTGCTGATGTTGTTGTTAATTGTTGCTGCTGTTCCTGCTGATTTGTGTTGTGTGTGCGGTTTCCTCGAGGTTGGTGCTGCTGTCTGCTGATTTTGGGTTGTTCTGTGCTTTCTGCTGAGTTGTTGTTAAGTTGCTGCTGTCTGCTGATGGTTGTGTGTGCGGCTTTTCCTCTGATGTTGTGTTAATGTTGCTGCTGTTCTGCTGTGTTTTTTAAATTTCTGCTTTCTCTGAGTTGTTTGTTGTTGCTGCTGTTCCTTGCTGATGTTTTTGTTGTTGCTGTTCCTGCTGATGTTTTTGTTAATGTTGCTGCTGTTCCTGCGATGTTGTTGTTAATGTTGCTGCTGTTCCTGCTGATGTTTGTGTAATGTTGCGCTGTTCCTGCTGATGTGTTTGTTGCTGCTGTTCCTGCTGATGTTGTTGTTAATGTTCTGCTGTTCCTGCGATGTTGTTTTTTAAATGTTGCTGCTTTTCCCTGCTGATGTTGTTGTTAATGTTGCTGGGGGTTCCCGCTGATGTTGTTGTTGCTGCTGTTCCTGCTGATGTTGTTTTGTTAATGTTGCTTGCTGTTCCTGCTGATGTTGTTGTTAATGTTGCTGCTGTTCCTGTGATGTTGTTTTTAAATGTTGCTGCTGTCCTGCTGATGTGTTGTTGTTGCTGCTGTTCCTGCTGATGTTGTTGTTGTTGCTGCTGTTCCTGCTGATGTTGTTGTTGTTGCTGCTGTTCCTGCTGATGTTGTTGTTGTTGCTGCTGTTCCTGCTGATGTTGTTGTTAATGTTGCTGCTGTTCCTGCTGATGTTGTTGTTTTTGCTGGCTGTTCCTGCTGATGTTGTGTTAATGTTGCTGCTTTTCCTGCTGATGTTGTTGTTGTGCTGCTGTTCCTGCTGATGTTGTTGTTAATGTTCTGCTGTTCCTGCGATGTGTTTAATGTTGCTGCTGTTCCTGCTGATGTTGTTGTTAATGTTGCTGCTGTTCCTGCTGATGTTGTTGTTAATGTTGCTGCTGTTCCTGCTGATGTTGTTGTTGCTGCTGTTCCTGCTGATGTTGTTGTTAATGTTGCTGCTGTTCCTGCTGATGTTGTTGTTTAATGTTGCTCCCTTTTCCCTGCTGATGTTGTTGTTGCTGCTGTTCCTGCTGATGTTGTTGTTAATGTTGCTGCTGTTCCTGCTGATGTTGTTGTTAATGTTGCTGCTGTTCCTGCTGATGTTGGTTTGTTGCTGCTGCTGTTCCTGCTGATGTTGTTGTTAATGTTGTTGCTGTTCCTGCTGATGTTGTTGTTGCTGCTGTTCCTGCTGATGTTGTTGTTAATGTTGCTGCTGTTCCTGCTCCTGCTGCCAATGATGCTGCTGTTATTGTTGATGTTGCTGTTCCTGCTGCTGCTGATGCTGTTATTGCTGCTGCTGCTGCTGCTACCTCCGTTGCTGCTGTTGCTTCTGCTACCTCTTCTGTTGTTGATGCTGCTGCTACTGTTGCTTCTGTTACCTCTGCTGTTGTTGATGCTGCTATTGGAGCTGCTGCTGTTACTGTTGCTTCTGTTGTTTTTCCCCCTACTACTGGTGCTACTGCTGCTGTTGCTACTACCATTGCTGCTGTTGCTACTACCATTGCTGCTGTTGCTACTATCATTGCTGCTGTTGCTACTACCATTGCTGCTGTTGCTACTACCATTGCTGCTGTTGCTACTACCATTGCTGCTGTTGCTACTATCATTGCTGCTGTTGCTACTACAATTCCTGCTGTTGCTATCATTGCTGCTGTTGCTACTACCATTGCTGCTGTTGCTACTACCATTGCTGCTGTTGCTACTACCATTGCTGCTGTTGCTACTATCATTGCTGCTGTTGCTACTACAATTGCTGCTGTTGCTATCATTGCTGCTGTTGCTACTACCATTGCTGCTGTTGCTACTACCATTGCTGCTGTTGCTACTACCATTGCTGCTGTTGCTACTACCATTGCTGCTGTTGCTACTACCATTGCTGCTGATGCTATTACCATTGCTGCTGTTGCTACTACCACTTTTACAAATAATAATAATCATATGGATGACTACCACTCATAGGATGGGTATGTGGTGACCTACAGGATGGGTATGTGGTGACCTACAGGATGGGTATGTGGTGACCTACAGGATGGGTATGTGGTGACCTACAGGACGGGTATGAGGTGATTTACAGGATGAGTATGTGGTGAACCTAAAATGATGGTATGAGTGACCACCCTACAGGATGGATATGGGGTTTGACCTCCAACAGGATGGGTATGGTGGTGAACCTCCAACAGGATGGTATGGGGTGACCATTCTGCAGATGGGCAAGTGGTGACCACCTACAGGAGTGAGTGGTGACCACTTTACGGGATGGGTATGTGGCACCATCTACAGAAGGAAATGTAGTGATCTACAGAGGGGTATGTGGTGTCCCAACCTACAGGAGGGGTATGTGGTGACCTACAGGAGGTAGTGGTGACCTACAGGATGTGGTATGTGGTACCTACAGATGGGTAATGGGGTGACCTACAGGATGGGTATGTGGTGACCTACAGGATGGGTATGTGGTGACCTACAGGATGGGTATGTGGTGACCTACAGGATGGGTATGTGGTGACCTACAGATGGTATGGGGTGGACCAAACAGATGGTATGGGGAAACCCTACAGGATGGGTATGGGGTGACCTACGGGAATGGGTATGGGGTGACCTACAGGAGGTAAGTGGGACTATCTGCAGGATGGGTATGTGGTGGCTTCCAACAGGATGGGTATGTGGTGACCTACAGGATGGGTATATAGTGACCATCTACAGGTTGGTTATAACAACTTAAAGAAGGAACACTGCAGCAGGCCTAGTGGCCCATACTAGGAAAGTCCTTAGATTACAAAATAAAAATATCAGTCTAGACACAGATGAGTCACAAGGATGTCAGGAATCATTTCTGGAGCCTGAGGAGTGTCAGAAAGTGGAATGACCTGGAGTAAGCAGTAGTGGAGACAGGCTCCATACATAATTCCAAGAATAGGTGTCCAGGGCCCACGAGATGAAAGACAGTAAATGTAGCAGTGGCAAGACCAGGAGCTAAGACTCGAACCCTATAACCACAAGCTGGTGAGTAAATACGTGAGTAGATGTTAGAAAGAGTTGATTAAGATGGTGGAAATTCAAAGTTAGCGGTGGACTGGTAAGCACAGTATCAGTGGAACAAGATTGCAAATTATTATGAAACAGAAGCTAATATTTCCTTGAAATTTTAGATTTTTATATTAATTTACTTAATCTTAAAACGCGGTTGTTCCGCCATGGTTATTTTCACGCCCATTTAAGACCCAGATACGATGTAAATAAATAATTCTCAGGACATAAAAATGGCAGGTGATGCAATATTAATATCAATTAAAGGGGGTTAGATACAACATAATATATTTTAAACGGTTGGATAAAGGTAAAAGTGCATGAAGGGATATAAATATAGAAATAAATGAGAGACAGTGAGTATGAATTAGGATAAAGGAGGGGTAAATAGAGTGTTGCGCATAAAAAGCGTCAAGTGTCTTGGCTGAGCATTGTGGGATGACGTCATGCTGGTCAGTGACGTCATAAACATTAGGAAAGCGTTCAGGGGTTGTGCTCAGTGTGAACATTTTCAAGGCATTAATGTATGACTCTAAGTTTACTAACTAGCTAGTAAAGACTGTAATCTCCTAGGAGCATCCTTATTAAATTGACACATATATAAATCATGTCTACTCGCGAGACGCACAAGACTGATGTAGAGACTTAAAGGTACAGTGTCTAGTGATGGTGTTACGCAGTGCAGCAGCAGACCTTGTTATCCTCTAACAACACCTATGTAAGTGTACGCATCTGTAGAACCAAGTACTGTGGATCACTTAGTGGTGTCAAGTGTAGCGAGGAAGTACCTAGATACAGGTGTGAGTGAGTGTAGAAGAGGTGTGAGACACAACTCCACAACGATAATAAGTATCGAGTCAGGATCAAGTCTTCTTTGTCGTGCGTTGCTATAAAAAGTATATGTGTGGTTATGTAGGCGTAGTGTGTGTAACATACTCTCTCTACCTCTCGTCTTCACCATCATCTCTGTCATATTACCTCAAGTAATAAACTACATTCGAACAATTTGCATTGGTCCCCACGCAGTGTAATGCGCAAGACTGGTGTTTGCCAAACGTTACATACCAGTTTTGCACGGATACACTGAGGACTTTGTTTTATTTCAATTATTGGAGACAATTTTCGCAAGCTTATTCTCTAGATGACTCCTAATTTACCTGTCTCATTCCCCAAGACTGTGACAGCCTACTTGTTATTGCGCATTCCAATGATTAATAATACTTGCTGATTGAAGTATTATTACTTGCAGCTTGGCTAATAGAAATTTTTAGATAATCATACTGTTAATATTGATGAGTACATTTGTTAGTAACGAGTCAACAGTTTGTGGCAGATTATATGTGACCGGCCAAATTGGTCAGTCAGGTATCAATTTAATCTGGCAGAAGTTATATTAATGTATACTACTTTGATTCGATCGCAATGAGTGAACGGTATATCATATGGTCCGATAATAGTCCGATGTGGCTGTGGCATAAACCTCGCTTCACAGCTGCGCGGGTCATCGAGCGAAGTGTAGAACATGGGCGTGTTTTCGTTACTACCGTAGTCAATGATTCCACCGTCAATAACATTGGTACCTGGTGTAGTCAACTGTGGTGGTCGGCGATCCTGTGACAAAACTGACGCTAGTTTGCACGATATGCTTGCTGTATTAAACAAAATGGCTATTCTAAAGTTGTAGGAGTTAATGTCATGAGTAATTTGCCTATTTACAGCTGTAGGCATGTAGATAAAGATCTATATTAATAGAAAATTAGAGTGTAGGATAATTTTTCAAGTCCCACTTGTATGGCAGCTCTTATTAGAATCAAAACAAATTTTCAAACAAGATGTGTTTAAATGCAATGACTTAAAATTGCACCACCATGAGTAAAGTAAAATCTATGTATGTTAATATGAACGAATTTATACTGTTCAAAATTGGCATGAGACACAGCATCACTCTAACTTTCTTTCAGTCCTTGTTTCTTGCAATGTTGACACTCATTAACATCTTTTAACAATAGATGTGGTTTGAAAATTTGAGTTATATTTCATAGTCACACTGTAAGTCGTGCATTACATGAGAACAAATTTAGAGCGAAGAGTAGAAATATAGGCCCTTCCCTATCAACCCTACTACCACATAGCAGCTTCGTTTAAAGCAATCAAAGGGCTTATGTCTCAACTATAATAAGACAAAGATCAAGCTATGTTATAAATAATCCAAGGGAACGGTATGTTCTATAAAAGATGGCATTTGAAATACGATTTATACCAATGAAGCCCTGACTGTTCGTTATATATCATTCATGTATTAATGAATGAGTTTTTATCTAGATCGCTGGTTCTCTTTCATACTGTTGATATCTAACATGGCACCCCCGGAGGATATAAGCATGCTGGGAGACACCAAAAAAGGAATAAAGCAGTAAAGTTATTTTTAACACGACCTTTCAGGTCAAGCCAAAATTCTGAGGAGTCACGCACATGTTCCTAGGAGAATTTGAAAAAAAAAAAAAAAATTATTTTCTTACAGAAAATTAAAAGAGCAATATTTTGATGAAGGAAAACAAAACAGAATAGAAATCTGATTCAGTACTTAGCTTGAGATACCAGTGATCCAAGAAGTGTATTAAAAATGAATGTGTGGTGCAACAGGCATCGAGAGCGATTCATCATACGCAGTATATAATTATTTTTGTGTTTAGATTGTTTTTTCTCTTCTTTCTTTTTCCAATTTTTTCTATCCTACTAACATTTAGGGGGTCCGGCCCGCAGTTCACCTCAGTAGACCAATATACAGTATAATAATTGATATAAATAACTCAGCTATTGAGACACATTAACTTGCACTAAAGAGAGCGAGGCATATATTGTTACTTCACTAGTGATGTTATTACAATTAAATCATGCACAAATATTGTATAATTATCTATGTTCTAATCATTATTTACATAATTACAATCAGCTGGACTAATGTATATTGAGGAACCGCGAGCTTGTGAACTACCTTACACAAGGCCTCATATGCACAGAGCATGCTACATTCCTGCACACTTCATAAGAACCTGAGTGTCTTGCGTCCACTTGTGCCGTCGTTTTGTTGTGTGCACAGACAATGCATCTCTTTCGAGCAAATTTCTTTTTGAGTTGAAGGAAGGCTGTATTATGAAATGATCAACGTCAAGTCCTCAAAACGCTTGGTATGTAGTACGTGATGATTCGAGTGAACCATGTTGGAGATTAGGCATGGTTGTTGTACACTAGGGTACTGTCATATATGAGTTGTCTGACAACAACTAAACAAAAATCATGCCATAAACGGTGGTTCTGTTACCTAGTCTTTATTATGGTACAATATTATATGCATTCACATTGAAATGTCCATGAGATGGCAAGAACAAAGTATCATGTTACGCACTTCTAACTCATACGAAGCACAGTGCAACCAAAAGGCTAACTGCATGTTCACACTTGTCAACCAAGCAGCAATGTTTTGTTATATATCAATCTACTGAACGAATGGTTATACTGGTTTCTCGAATACGTTCATTAGTCACAAGTCGAGTCAACTTCGCCCTGCTCTTGCATTCATTTACGGGTGAAGTGATTGTCACAATGTTACATCTCTTGTCATGGAGCCAATCCTAGTGAATGCCATGAAGTCTTGAGCAGTAAACACTCTTGCAAAGCGGTCCATCAACCACTGAACACCTGCTTGAGGCTGGTCATAATGTTTACGATAGAACGGCCTGTGGGCCACACACATCTGGGGGGGGGGGGGGGGGGGGGGGGGGGGGGGGGAGGGGGGGGGGGGGGCGTGTTTCACAAACTCAGACAAGAAATCACTAAGATATATGGCTATGTGTGTACCAGATTATCGTATATAATGTCTGGCGCCTTACCAGATAGAGGTGCCGTTCGCCGAAGGATCATGTTTCTCACTACGTCAACCTAGAGCTACTGCAATAACATTCTGGTAGCTTCATGTTTAACTACCATCCTGTGATATACCAAACAATCAATCCAATCACAGGCACTGTCATAATATAACACAATGCACAGAGTACAAACGAGTGTTTTTACTACAAAGCGGTCTCCTGCTCGGGTATAATAACGCTTGGGTGACAGTCTTACCGTTTGAATCAAAATCAAAGAGCACGTAATTACGAAGATTCTTGATGGAATACATTAAAAACCTGAGCTTTTGTCTAGGATACGCGCGCGCGAGCAGAACATTTCTAACTCACTGTATAACCTGTCACTGTCTGTTCAGGCTGGTTTTGTCGAAGACAAGTGCTAAAACATACGTAACAGTAAGATAAACCTGTTCACTGAGATTATTTCACTGAGATGGGGGTATGAAATAGTCACGATCTTGTGGACACAGGTATGCGCTTTAATATATGCTATAGACAAGAGCTATAGCATTATGTTGCAAGTAAAAGCAAATAACATATCTCCTTTCTGGCATACAGTTCGTCTACTTGCAAGGCATGTGTAGTCATGACTCTGTGTTGAAACGAATCGTATTTGTCCATGGGTGTCACTGAAAATACTATACTTACTTTCCCTGGACAATAAATTTCCATGCATGGCTGGTTCAACAAAGAATAATTCAAAGATATCAGTGCATCTTTGGCCATGTCTGGTTCCAAGGGGAACAGGTAGTAGAAATTCCACCTTGAGAGATCATCAAAGATTGTGAGCCCTTGGGACAAAATTGGGATTTTATGCTGCGACTATCCCACATGAGGCAAAAGGACATACGGGTTCTGGAAGAGATACTGCGGCATCAATGAGAGCTGCTGTAGGCTGATTGTGTTTGTGAGCAGACGGAGGTAAACGGCGATGGCGAGTGGTGTTTGTGCGGTTGTGGCGGGGCGGGCTGGTGGGCTGACGCGCACGCTTGTACCATGAACTGACGATCAGCAGTTCGTGGGTCCCCCAGCGTGGCAAGCGGTGAGTTCACGCAATGGTGCGTGCCAGACTTCGCACCACCCTCCAGGCACCACTATAACATGCACGCATCATCACATAAAGACGCTAGGGTGGCCCGATACCATGCAAAATTATCGCAACATCATCGCTCCACTAATCACTATCCAAAAATGGGAGGTAGGGCCACGGTTTACTCTGGTGAAATGTAACACTCCGCAAACCCTGGAGACAACAAGCATAGAGGGGTCTACACTTACCCGACAGACGGCTTTAAATGCGGTGCAACATAGCCAGAACGCTTTCACTGAGTGAATATGATTCCTACACCTAACTAATCAGGGGCATGAAACTCGAGATGAATCGTACAAGGCTTGCAATAAAATCAACATCCGCCGTCAGAAAATTCTATACGTCGTCATAGTACTGAAGTCGCATTAGGCATCGGTGGCCACAGCGAAATATTATTTTTGCTCTGTAGCGTTTAGAAGCTTAAGCCCATAAAGGGAATACGAGAGGGACGGTGCGAATCCACTGAGTGCTCGAAGGACGACGAATAAACCGAAGTAGTAAGAAGATTGGCAAAGGATCGTCGGGGTTTTCTGCACTCATTATCAAAATCCTGGATTCAATTAAATATATTTCGAGTGCACTAACAAATTATGGCTAATAGCCGTAGAATACATGCTTCAATATACTTGCACTTTCCATCAGTGTCAAGCACTATTCAGACAAGAAGAGGCAGTCACCAAGTTATATCTGGTAGTGAGGAGCTGACTTATGCGAGCCCGTAGGCATGGAGAGAACAATTATAGCATACATGACGTACAGGAGGAACATATTCCAGCAATGAACTAATAGAGAGCAGTACGACCTAAGAAATTTTTGTTTTCAACAGAACAAGGCACAAACAAGAAACGCTAACGAGGACGCAGGTACCAATTATCTACTCACACTGTAGGCGCAGGGTGTGTGGGGAGGGAGTATAAACGGCAATTTCAGCGCAAGCTAAAAAATTGAACACAAGCAAGAATATTTATAGAGACTAGTGACTCTTTACAGAAGGTCATTGGAAGCCACTCACGTAAAAAGGGCCGTAATCTATCAAGGACGGACTTGGCTGAAGGGTTTGGAATAATAAGCTCAGGTGGAGCGGGGAGGTGGGGGGGGGGGGGGGGGGGGGGGGTTTGGGGGGGGGGGGGGGGGGGGGGGGGGGGGGGGGGGGGGGGGGGGAGGGGTGTTTGTGGGGGTGGGGTGGGGCGTGCGTTATATTAGTCAAATAAAAGGACAAAATCAATAATGTATGAGATTAGAAGAGAACTGTAGGCAAAGAAATGAAACTTTATATATAAGTATGACTTCATGTTGTGACGGGCTTGAAGATAACTCACGGCTGAGGTCACTAGCTACTAAGGGCTTTAAAAATTTGGATGGAGTGGATTGAACGACAGAGAAATAACCAGGAAAAAGAGTGTATCAAAAGTTTAATTATAGTGACTGGTGGGTATTTATGTAAGTATTGGAAGGGTGGGGAGGGTTATTGAGTAAACAATATACGGTCTGAAGAAGAATAGAAGAGCTTAGAGTTAAGTAGTAGAGTAGGTCTCTGTGGTTCGGTAACAAAATGGTCTCTGAACAAATCAGCGCACAATTGAAAATTTTCTGGTGAAAAGGATGACTGTGATCGGAATCGGGCTGAATCGCAACTGCTGGCTAGAAAATATTGCGCTGCAGAAGATGACAGAGGGTGACTTAGATAAGCCATAGGCTAAATGTTCATAAGCCTAGAATGAGGGAATTGGAGGTATTATTGGAAGAAATTCCTAAAAATCTAGTAACTTACGATGAACAGTACAGAAGCACACTGATTTTACATAGGGGCACAGGCAAGTAGTTGTTGTCAGGGCTACTTCTGTGGTAATGCATTAAGGTTGAATTGCTATCAATAATTCGCAGTGGAGCTTAACTAGATGGCATTGGCATGACAAGAAGCCGTACCGTTAATGGCGTGGTCAAAAATCTTTCACTGTCTAAAAAAGTAGGAGCCAAATGTAATGACACTAAGTCACACAGTGTTGATTCTGGAGCGATTTTAAGCACCAGTGCGCCGATCAATATTGTTGTATAACATTAAATTCTGGCCTGGACATGAGAGAGTAGTACTGCAGCTGAGAGGTGCACACTAAAAAAAAAACACCTGCCTCACACAGTGCATGAGAAACGCAAACTTCTGACGCCTTTTTTGTTTAATAGAGACATAAACTGGAGGTATATTTTTGTTTGTTTATTGGCAAAAATAATTGATAGCATGGAAGATATACTACAGAATACAGATGGATTGTGGTAGAAATAGAGCTCGGGATAGGCTCAAAAGTAGTGGAGTAAATTTTATAAATATTCTGAGGAATGGGGTAAGGCTTACCTTCACCGCCTGAATCTGTGAGCTGTGGAATTTTACTAGGTCTGATTTCAATATTGGATGCCCTAAAACTATACATAAATAACCATGCTTTCTGTATATTGCGCGCTTCAGGGTTTCGGCTATACTACGTACGGCTACGCACGACAGGGTTTTTTTCGGACGACGTATAACAGTAATTCGATGGCGACCGCTGCCAGCATATACGGAAGATAGGCGATCAGGCATTTAGCTATAAATGTTTTCGCATTCAACGACTGCTTTACTTAATAGATAAATCGAGGCAAAATATTTTGCGTCGCAATGTAGGAGAACGCGATTAAAAAAAACCCCGACGAACTCACAAGAGTGGGATATGCAGACAATCTGAAGCGTAATGGAAGATCTGAGTCTCCCGAGACGCGTATCCATATTGTTGGCTCGAGACACAAGCAACCTTTCACCAGCGCTCTATGATCATGTGCCTGCAACCGTCGCCAATTGTTTGACACAGCACATGAACCTCCGCTCATTTTAAACATCAATAACACATACGGACCATAAACAACTCGATAATTTTAATGTATATTTTTTTGGGATCGTATATATACAGATGTATGTCGAGTGGTGTTATATTTCTGTAGGAAATAGAAACGTGACCATGGGCACCGCAAGGAACAGACCTTCTATGCCAAATCCAGTTAACTACGCAATAAAAGGGTAAGATACCCATCATGAAATGAAAGAAAGATGATCAATTGGAGAGAAAAAGTATTAAAGTTGGAAGTGCGATAATTGCCTGACGCTTATGGCAAGGTTGTACAAGAAACCTCCAATCTACAACATCGACTACTATTGTGGGGCACCAAAAAGACAAACAAGGAAGCTGTATGCTTGCCAACGGTTTAACTGTGTTTTCGGAAACAAAGCGATCGCACAGAATTGATTGAAAGATGAAATTTGAGAGAACGTCTTATTGCTTGTTGGATAAATAGAAACAGGCGCATAGCAGAGAGTAGCGATCTCTGGATGCGAAGGCAGAATCAGGTATGCTGACAAAGCTAGGAAAGTCTGGCAGTTGAGGATATAATAAATCTAGACAAATGGCCAATGGTCAACTATAGATGGATAGGATTGTGAGTGAATTAGAAGCGCAGGGACAAAGGATGAGTTAGTTTGAGAGATTTGAAGAATCCCGTACGAGGACATCGTATATAGTGTGATTAAAGGCATTGGGTGAGGCTGGCAGTTCTCTCAGGAGCCTTAGGGATCAGCGCGTAAACGGCGGCTGATAAATAAGTGCATGTAATTCAAAAGTTAGTATATAGAAATCTGATAGGACTGAAGTACTGAACAAGTATGATGTAATTGAAGGCGAGTGAATAAGCTGGCCATGTTCTAACGGAAGAAAATGCGAAGGAGCAGGAACCTAGCATAATCTCAATGGATGAAAAGAGCACTAGACCAGAACATTAACACACATATTACGAAAGACTAGGCTTACTCTTCTCATGATGGTGCGACAATGCTTACCTCGTGATGGAATGAACAAGTTAATAGCCTTATTTAGTGATATACAGCCTCTTGTGATAAACTTACCCAAGCAGTAAAAAACATCTGCAGATCGAGCAAAAGAAATAGGATCCATCAAAAGGATAATTTAGATGTGTGTCATGATGGACGGGCTTAAAAACAGATAAAGGATCATTGAGGTCTCCTTGTAGGGAATTTCTATAACTGGTTGAACGACGAATGAGACCATTTTGCAGCCGGCACCAAGCAATGTGAAAGATTTAAGCATAACCTGAAAAGGAAATTAGAACGTTAAGCACTTGCCTCGGGAAATTGTTGAGACAATAGCTCCTGGTGCCGAAGTCTACAGGACAGAATCGCCGTGAAAGTTCGACTTTAACTGGGGACTATGAGCTTCATAAGTTGAATGAGTTTCTGCTTTCTGGAGAAGTCAATCGCTATCAGGTCCTAAATGACACTCGCTCCTCCTGGGCATAGGAGTGGCAAGAGGTCGCGCTATGGACCTTAATGCAGGTAATATCCAACTATGCGAGAGAACTTACGACAAAAGCTCTAGTTGCCTGAAGGTGGCTTTGTAATAGACAAAGTCAGTAAACACAACTGACTCTAAGAGAAGTTTGAGAGATCACATTTATAACTATTCCTCAAATTGGTGTAGAACACTTAATAGAGTAAGGTCTGGCAGGAGTGACTAAGAGGATACGCTAGTACGAACACTGCTTTGGAGGCTGTAGGAAGAAAACATGTGGCCTGTTCTAATAATTGTAGCGTGAAACAAAGATGGAATTTATGAAAGGTTTGAGGGCATAACTAATACAATAGACAACATCCCTGTGGGCAGTATGAGAAGTGCCACTGTGTGAGCATGGGGAAAGTCACACATAAAGGGAGTCTCTATACGTAGTTGGACGTGGGAGGATGTGGGAAGAGTTGGTGCCTGTCGAGTTTATTCAGTCTAAAGAGTGTAGTCATACGTCAGATTCAACTTGAACTCACGAATTGATGAATGTCTGATCTAGATGCAGTATATGGGGGGGGGGGGGGGGGGGGGGGGGGGGGGGGGGGGGGGGTTTATCTATACGTAGTTCTGAAGGGACGCTCTGTGGAGGTAGGTCCTGTAGGACCTGGGAGACATACGTGTTGGTCAGAAGGAGGCTAAGTAGGTATAAGTATAAAGTTGCTTAGAATATATCTCTGACTAGCTAAAGTTATATGCAATCGGACTAAGTTAACTATGTAGCAGTAGTGGAGCGTGGTTGGGGGGGGGGGGGGGGGGGGGGGGGGGGGGGGGGGGGGGGGGGGTGTTTATATCGGGACAGAGGGACAGTGTCATTGAGGGAGCAACACAGACGTTCATGTATGAAATATTATTCTCCAATTTCTGACGAGCTGTACAGCTTTATTGAACAAAGTATCGTGGGGGCATAGGGCATGGCTGTGGTTAGTCGTTGCTGGCATACACCGAGCTGTCACACCTGCACAGTCTGGATAGTGTACTAAGATAGACAGACATGAGAGGAGGTGGGGGGTGGCAAAGTGATAAGGAACGAGAGTTACAGGACACTAGGAACAGAGAGCGACTTGTGCAGAGAAAGCGGAAAAGAAAAGAAAGCTGATCTAGTCACAATGTACTCTAGAAGCTGGCCTCATAGACAGCGATGAAGAAGCATGCATGGTAATGTAGCGCGCATCAGCAGCAAGAAAGACTTAGCTACTCGAAGTCTATTGGAAAGGATTTCACGGGCCTATCTAGTTGTATATAGTATATACCGGAGCTAAGGAACAGATAAATGCTCTCTGCTGATTACTGCCTCCATCTGCTTCATCAACTGAGCGGATCATGGCATGCTCTGGTTCTTGTCAAATCTTGCATAGGTGAGTGTCTTTAATGTAAGCGTGCAAATTATTGGCTGCTTTCAGTATTGGAGTGGGGGATAGAAATTGTCTCGTATCTATTCAAGATGAGGGGGGGTAAAAATAGACATTTTTTCATACTTGGTGTACTTGGTACAGCGGATTATTGTTATCATGTAATCCTATTGATTTACTATGACAAAGGGAAAATTCATTTACACTAGATAACATCTCTATTTCGGGCGAGGGGGGGGGGGGGGGGGGGGGGGGGTATATATAACATAACTCAGAGTACACAATGGCTAATACTATATGCTAAGAGTCCTAGGCTTACTTATGTAGGGCATAGAATTTTGGGGGGGGGGGGGGGCACATTAAGGAGAAAAGAGCTTAAGCAGAGCACGTGTTAATGTTATTTGAGATCACGACGAATACACTTGATGTAAACTGATATAGGTGGCATAGGTGGCTAAGACTCTGCTGTGTCCTATTGTTTGCATTGTAATTATTGGCTAATGATAGTTGGCATTGTACATAATTCAATATGCTGAAGACAAGAGCTGGATGATAGGTGCTCTATCTTGTAATGAAAATCATAGGGACTGTCTGGGCATGGATCTGCTATTGGGTGGCGCAGTAATAAAATAACTTGCTAGCGTTATAGCTGTGCGTGGAGCGGCACACAGTGACATCTATTGAAGAGTTAAAAAAGACTTCTGACGTCGTTGTTTTTTGGATTAAAACGTTGACTGCAGCTGTACAATTATTGGCTAGGATATTGTCGTATGTACTGTATCTGTTACACTATATTGTGGCTCTGTCTTACAGGCGTCTGTGTCTCAATTACAGACATGCATTAGGGACATTAATGGCTGATCTGACAAACTATATTGCGAGACAGGTGACTAGTGGAGTACACTGTGGTTTACAGTTTCTCTATACTTACCGTGGAACATATAGAGGTGGAGCAATCTATAAAGAGAGAGGTTGGCAGAAATGTCAGAGTAGCAATTAAATGTACTTGCATAAGTTGCATAATGAGCCTACAAGTGCAAATCGTGCTAGTGCTGTCATATACTAGGTTATATGATTTATACACACACAAAGCTTCAACGAAGCACAAGTGCGCGTCTGGGCATGAGATATTGGCTTTATGCTGGTAGACTATACTTCGTTATTCAGACTAGCGAGCGATGGCAGGTGGATCTGCAATAAATGGTAAACTTGAGTCTTGGATATTAATTGCTAGTATGAGGAATAAAACATCACAGCAGAAGAGAATAATAATTGAAATAGAGGTACAAGATCAAAGACTCGTGTGCGAGTATGACGTGTGGGGGCTCATGGGGACTGTGACCTGCTCTATATAACAAGAATAGGTAGCGCGCATCCGTACACAGGCTTATGTCGCTAGATACACTGTCAGCGTAGTTTCATCACACATTAAGTCGATAACTGTTATATGTGTGATTGCTAACATATGAGGCTGTCATAAGGAGAGACTTTAGTAGGAGTTTACACACATTCAATTGAGAGAAGTAAGCGATGGGAAACTGCTGTGATACTATAGCTCAGAAGGGTACTGCGACTATCGTGATATTGCTATGTTGCAAGAAAAACAAATTTTTTTTTCGAATTTGGGCTAGTGGTTACTCCTAGGGAGCCTAACAAGAGTCTAGTGAAGTTAGACCTGGTAGAATTCGCATTGGGCTTGAAAAGGGGGGTGCTCTAGTATCCAGGGGGGAGAAGATAGGGAGCGCGGCTAGGAGGTCTTATTAGTATGTGTTATAAGTGAATGCATGGTGCGAGCGGCGATGTAGAAGTCAGCGCAATTGTGATAATAGTGACGTTAGAGCTGGTGATAGTTTCTGAAATGCATTAGTGCGTATACTGATGCGTACTGTAGTTGGCTATTGTGGGCTATTGTGTAATATAACTTCAGAGATAGCGGTATTGCGTTGAAGAGTATTATTGTAATGAATATTAGCTGCATAAATTTATACCTTGTACGGTCTTGGCTCAGTAGGTCTATGAGATAGGAGTTCCTTGTATGAGAGACAATTTGAACGGGTTATTTTTTTATGCTGCAGTTATAGAATGGAATGCATTCTTGCAAATAACCAGAATTATGATCAAAAATTGGGGGGGGGGGGGGGGGGGGAGGGCGAGGAGGGGGAGGCCTGCATAACATCACCATATTGCATATAATGCCAGTGTGGCAAGGATTGCTTGATGACTAGTGACATTATTTGGCATACACAATGGCTCATCAGATCTTAACTGCCACTTATTACCTATAGCGAATTTTGGTATATTTATTAGTTTTGCTTTGGCGATACCAGTTTACATAAGCAATGAATGTTGTTCATCACATATCGGAACTTAGGCATATTTTTCTGTTATTCTAAATCCAACTCAATACTAGATCAGGTACTTATTACACATCAGTGTGCGAGCTTGTGAGAGCACTGGAAAGAGTTTTGCGATCGCGATCTAATCATTCCAATATGTCTCAGTTTGTTGCTCGATGCTGCATTTCATAGTGTTACACACATAGGGGGAGTCAGTTTAGGGAGGAGGAGGGTTTCTCACTCACGCCTTTGATCGGATTCTATATGTACAAGTACGATGATCCCTAGATAGCTACATTGTTACGGATGTTCTGTATGATTATTTCCGCGCTAGGTTATGCGAATAGTATGTCTGGAACTATCTGACAACCCTTGAAATTAACAGGCTTCTTGGAGTAGTCAGTAGGTCTAGGTAATCAAGAGACATTGAGGAAGGCGGGTTAACTGTAAGAGTGCGAGCGGGCATTCTAGACGAAATCATTCAATGTCATGCAGTCAGACAGACTGCTTTGTATAGACACTGACATTAGACTCTGAGACTGTGAAGCGGAGCAATGGAGTAACTCTTGAGGTGTCTCTCTATATGACGAACATTGCAGATGCAATAAACAACTGTACAATACATGGAAAAGTACATGGAATGAAGCCACCCGTAAATCAACCAATAAATGTAAGGTTTTGGGAAATTTTGGCTTTAGTGGGAAAAATTTCCAGTCCCCCCCCCCCCCCCTTCCCAGCCACATCCAGGAAATTGTTCCAGCTGGGCCAGGGAGATTTGCCAGACGTGACTTTGAAAATTTAACGCATCAAGAAGATATAGGAAGGCACTTCACAATGATGAAGAGGAAGAAAAGAAGTTCCAGAGGAAATGTTGATGAGCTCAGTTTTTAGTTGAAGACCAGAAAAGCGAATATTCCCTGAATTGGTTAATTTAAAAGTGTAAACAACTGAACTGAAGACAAGTTATAAGTAGTAAAGCAGAGTATTTTTTTTTTAATCAAAGGACAACAAGGATAGGGAAGTATGTTTGAGCTTTTCCCAACTCCAATCACATTGAAAAGAGAAAACAGTGCACTTTCCTTATTTTGATATCTAATTACACAGACTCACTACAGTAAAACTTAGCAACTCCCCTCAAATTTAGTGGGTGTACCATAAACTCGCCAATCAGAAAAAAGATTTTGAGGTAGCGAGTTTCTTACAGTTACTACAATTTACTGAATAATCCACCAAGCATAATCTCAGCCATGAACACAATCACGCCTCCAGCTCATCTCCATACCTGCAACTTTAAAGGCACTATCTTCATGCTCCATCCCAAGTGGTTTGTATTAACCAAATAACCTGAAATGCATTCCCATTTGTCCCTCCCTAGTTTTCCTTTAAACTCAGAAATGCCTGCAATATAGACCTTCTTTGCTTTGGTCTATTCTGTATTCCTCTTTCATACAACTATCTGCCATAACCCTCTATACTATGTACGTAGTACATAGTAACATTGATTTTTTTCTCACTCACTTGAAAACACAAAAAGTTTTTGCATTAAGCATGATATACACATTAGCATGTATTAAGCATTAACTGAAACATTTTTAAATATTTTGCAGTCTGCAGCAAGACCCGCCTGCTGGTAAGAGCTGGCACCAACAGAGAACAAACAATTCATGATCCTGGACTGCAGTTTATCTTTTGGGGATAAGGTTTTCCCCCACCTTAATTGTCTGTTTTCTACATTAAAAAATTTTATTTATTTCAAGTAATAGCATTTTAGTACACAAGTGTGACCCCCCTGGTTTTGTTGAAGGAACCTGCCTCAAATGGGCCAACCGGCCTATTGCAGTGTATTCCCTCCCATCTTTATGTTTAAAGTAAAAAGCTTTTTTAGCTTTTTTCTTGTCTCGTGTTGAAAATGCCCTTAGTTTTTGAGGGACTGCAAGATCACATTGGGAAGAAGTATACTGTACATTGTGTTAATATTAAGTTTTGTGAAAATGAAGCCTGCAAATTCTAATGTATATCCTTAGATTTGTTTATATATTTTTTTTTTTATATTTTTATGTAAGGACACAAGTAACAATCTACTTGTTATACATCAAACTTAAACAAAAACCTCAACAACTTAACGAAAAAAAACAAGCCCCACTAGGAATGAAAACAGAAGAACCTACACCTGAAGCCCAATTCCTAAACAAAAAAAAGCTACATAACCAAACCTGTTTACACTTATTCATATTTTGTACAAAACCTTTTATAAACAACAACATATAAGTAAACACCAAAACATTTCTTCATACAATAATTTTGTTTTGTATAGTAACATATTTAGGGTCAACTTAGATTTCTCGAAAACTAAAACCTCCTGACAAGTATTTCGAGGAGACAAAATTCATACGCCCGAACCTTCCCCACACCCCACCATCCCATAAATAACCCAAATAACACATATAATGAACTTTGCATACTCTAGAATAAATGATAAAATTAGAAAAAATTTTTCTAAGATGTTGTGGCTCCCTCCATCACCCACCAGTAACACAGTAAAGAACAGGTAAATAAACCCTTAATCCGATGTGTATATATATACGGGATGGAGGGGTATTGGGCCCACGGATGGGTATGTGGTGTCCACCTACAGGATGGGTATGTGGTGACCTACAGGATGGGTATGTGGTGACCTACAGGATGGGTATGTGGTGACCTACAGGATGGTATGTGTGCCCTACAGGATGGGTATGTGGTGACCTACAGGATGGGTATGTGGTAACCTACAGGATGGGTATGTGGTGACCTACAGGATGGGTATGTGGTGACCTACAGGATGGGTATGTGGTGACTATCTGCAGGATGGGTATGTGGTGGCTTCCAACAGGATGGGTATGTGGTGACCTACAGGATGGGTATATAGTGACCATCTACAGGTTGGTTTATAAAAAACCCTTAAAAAGGAACACTGCAGAAAGGCCTAGTGGCCCATACTGGGAAGTCCTTAGATTACAAAATAAAAATATCAGTCTAGACACAGATGAGTCACAAGGATGTCAGGAATCATTTCTGGAGCCTGAGGAGTGTCAGAAAGTGGAATGACCTGGAGTAAGCAGTAGTGGAGACAGGCTCCATACATAATTCCAAGAATAGGTGTCCAGGGCCCACGAGATGAAAGACAGTAAATGTAGCAGTGGCAAGACCAGGAGCTAAGACTCGAACCCTATAACCACAAGCTGGTGAGTAAATACGTGAGTAGATGTTAGAAAGAGTTGATTAAGATGGTGGAAATTCAAAGTTAGCGGTGGACTGGTAAGCACAGTATCAGTGGAACAAGATTGCAAATTATTATGAAACAGAAGCTAAAAATTTCCTTGAAATTTTAGTTTTTTTATATTAATTTACTTAATCTTAAAAGGGCGTTTTCCCCCATGGTTATTTTCACGCCCATTTAAGACCCAGATACGATGTAAATAAATAATTCTCAGGACATAAAAATGGCAGGTATGCAATATTAATATAAATTTAAAGGGGGGTTAGATACAACAAAATATATTTTTAAAGGGTTTGGGATAAAGTAAAAGTGCATGAAGGATATATAAATATAGAAATAAATGAGAGACAGTGAGTATGAATTAGGAAAAAGGGAGGGGTAAATAGAGTGTTGCGCATATAAAGCTTTAAAAGTGTCTTGCGCTGAGCATTGGGGGATGACGTCATGCTGGTCAGTGACGTCATAAACATTAGGAAAGCGTTCAGGGTTTGCTCAGTGTGAACATTGTCAGGCATTAATGTATGACTCTAAGTTTAGCTAACTAGCTATAGTATTCGCTAGGAGCTCCTTAGTTTAATTACCAATATTATCATGTCTATCCGGCGAGACGACGACTGATGAGAGACTTTAAGAGTAAGAGTGGCAGTGATGGGTGTTAGCCAGGCATCAGCTGACCTTGTTTCCTCTAACACAACTCTATGTAATGTAGCTCTGTAGAGCAATACTGTGGTTTCACTAGTGTGCAGTGTACAGGAAGGTACTGATGATGGTGTGAGGTGTGTGTAGAGGAGGTGGGACACACTACACACGATAATAAGTCTTCATGATCAAGTTCTTTGTCGTGCTGCTATAAATATATGTGGTGGTGATGGTGGCGTAGTTGTGTTAACTTACTCTCTCTTACCTCTCTCTCACCTTCCCTCCTTCATATTACCCCCACTAAAACTCCACGAAAAATGTTCCCCCATGTGTATTTCAGACTGGTGTGCCTAACTTCATTACCAGTGTTGCAGGGACTTGTATGGACTTTTTTTTTTTTTCATTTATTAGGAGACATTTTTCGCAAGTTATTTCTCTGAATGACTCCTAATTACCTGCCATTCCCCAAGACTGTGACACCTACTTGTTTTGCGCTTCCCAATGAATTTAATAATACTTTGTGATGAAGTTATTATTATTTGCACTTGGGTATAATTTTTTGATAAACACTGTTATTTATGAGTTTCATTTGTTGTAACTAAGTCAACATTTTTGGGCAGATTATAGTGACTGGCAAAAGGCATTAGGTATTCCAATAAGCTGGGAGAAGTTATTTTAAATGTATACTACTTTGATTATCCATGAGGGAGGTATATAATATGGTAATAATAGTCCTGTGGCCTGGTGGCTTAAAAATCGCTTCACACTGCGCGGGTTCGATTCCCGGCAAGTGTAAAACATTGGGCGTGTTTCTTTACACCGGTTGTCTATGTTCCCCGTCAATAAAATGGGTACCTGGTGTTAGTCCAACTGGTGTGGGTCGCATCCTGTGACAAAACTGACCTAGTTTGCCCGAAATGCTCTGCATAACAAATGGCTTTTATGTAGTAGTATGTCATGGATATTTGTGCCTATTTACCTTGTACATGTAGAAATAAAGATCATTATTAATAGAAAATTTGTGTAGTAATTTTCAAGTCCCCTTGTATGCACTTATATTGAATCAAAACAAAATTTTAACAAAGATGTGTTAAATTGCAAATGACTAAATTTGCCACCATGATAAAGGTAAATTTTTATGTATGTAATTACGATTTTTTTACTGTTAAATTTGGGATGAGCACAGCATCATCCCTATTTTTCAGTCCCTTGTTTACATGTGACACTCTTACATTTTTTTTACAATAATGTGGTTGAAAATTTGTAGTTTATTTTCCATAAGCACACTGTTTAAACGTCCATTGAACATGGAAAAAAATTTAGAGGAAGTATGATAAGCCCTTCCCCTCTACCTCATAGCCAGCCCTTTGTTTTATAGGCAAGGCTTAGTCTCACTTTTAATAAGGGCAAAATAAACTTGTTTAAATAATCCAGTACGTAGTTTTAAAAGTTGGCATTTGATAATACCAATAAAAGGGGCCCCCTGATTTTCCTTTTTATTTTTCATTTGTATTAATAAATTTGAGTTTTTATCTTATCGCTGGTTAAATTTTCTTTGGGTTGATAGTAACCATGGCACCCAGGAAAAATTAAAGGGCCTTTTTTCTGGGACACCAAAAAGAAAAAGCAGTAAATTTTTTTTTTAAACCCTTTCGGGGGCCAAAGGGCCCAAAAAATTGAAGTAAAGCACCGTGCCCCAAAAAATTTTTGAAAAAAAAAAAAAAAATTATTTTTTTTTTAAAAAATTAAAGAGCATATTTTTTTTTAAAGGGGTAATAAAACAAAAAAAAATAGAATCTGTTCGGGACTTATAGATACAGTCCCAAGGAAGTTTATAAAAAATTTTTGTGGTGGTGGAAACATGACGAATTCCCCCCTAGGTATTATATTATTTTGTTTTTTTTAGTTGTTTTTTCTTTTTTTTCCCAATTTTTTTTTTTCCCTAAAAAACTTTTGGGGCCTGAGGGGGACCTTTATGTATAAAATTATATATAAAAAATCACTATTAAAACAAATAATGCACTAAAGTTTCATATTTTGTTTCCCACGGGTTGTTTTTACAAAAAAACATGCAAAAAATTATTGTTAATATAATTTTTCTATAATTTTATTTACTTTATTTAAATCACGGGAAAATGGTTTTAAAAACTGTGGGCTTGGGGAAACTCTTTTGAAAAAAGGCACCTTGCCAGGGGGGCCCCTTACATTCCCCCAACTTTTAAACCGAGTTTTCTTTGCGTCTTTGTTGCCGTCGTTTTTGTTTGTGCCAGAAAAGGGATTCTTTTGAGCAAATTTTTTTGGGGGTTTTGAAGGAAGCTGTTTTATGAAATGATCCCCCTTCCCCTCAAAGTTGGGAAAAAAATCGTGTTGAATTCGGGTCCATTTTTGTATTGCAGGTGTTTTTTCCTGGTACTTCATTATGGGGTTGTTGAAAAGACAAACAAAATTCAAACCCTACGGTGGTCTGTTACCCGTCTTTATTTGGTACTATTTTTTTGCATTTAGATTTGGAAAAGTCCCTGAGTTTGGAAAAAAAAGTTTCATGTACCCCCTTGTAATCTTAGGGAAAACAGTCAAAAAAAACCTATCTGCAAGTCACACTTGTCAAACCAAAGGGAGTTTTGTGTTTAATCAATTTATGACACTGGTTTTGAATAGTTCATTAGGCCCCTCGATAACTTCGCCATGGGCTTTTCATTTTATTCGGTGAATGGTTTTTAACAATGGACATTTGTTTTTCATGCCACCGTAATTTCCTGATGTCATTGGGAGTAAACACCTGCACGTTCACCCGGGGGAAAACCTGCGTTGAGCTGGGCTTTGTTTACGATTAGAACGCACTGTGCCAAACATTTTTGTTTGTTCATCGCATGAAATCACTGAGTAATGGGTTGGGTACCCGTTATCGGTTTATAATTTTTTGGGCCCCTTAACCCAAAAAAGGTGCCATCATGTTTCTCACTACGTCACCTGGTTTCCCCCTAACATCTTTGGGACTTTTAAAGTTTTAATACCGTGGGAACAAAAATATCCAAACACCAGGACTGTCACAATCACAAAAGTAAAACAGGGTTTTTTACCCAAAACGGTTCCTCTTGTCGGTATATCTGTTGAATGACAGTCTACCTTTTTTTGGGGAAAAAAATCAAAGATCGTCAATTACAAGGGTTCTTGAATGGATAAAAGTATATTTCCCGAACTTTTGTTTGAGTACTGAAAAACATTTTTAATCTTGTATAAACCCGTCACTTTTGTCAGGCCCTGGGTTTTTTCAGAGAAATTTAACATAGTAACATAAGAAAAAACCTTTTTCAATGGTATTTTTTTCACTGAAGGGGTGGGGTTTGAAATTAAACCCATCTTTGGACCAGTATGGTTTTTTATTTTGCTTTTAGAGTGAGGCATAAGCCTTATTGTTGCAAAAGCAATTACAAATTTTTTAAAAAGTGTCTCTTTCCACCTGTGTTAGTCTTGGACTGTGGTGATTAAGATCGTAAATTTTCCATGGTTTTAATGAAAAAACTTATTACTTTCCCTGCAAAAATTTCCCTCAATGGTGGGGCAAAAAATAATTCAAAAAATTCCCGTTCATTGGCCCTGGTTCCCAAAGGGGGAAAAGGTAGGTAGAATTTCCCTTTGAGAGTCATCAAAATGGTGAGCTTGGGAAAAAAAAATTGGGATTTTTTCTGCCCAAACCCCCATCGGTTTTTTGGTGGATTCTGGACATCCTAGGCTGGGTTTTAGGGTGGTTGTGGGTTTGTGGCGGGCTGGTGGCTGAGCTCCGCTTTGTCCTTGAACTTTGGGGTAGGCCGGGGGGTCCCCCCGTGGGGGCGGTGAGTCCGCAGGGGGGTTTCCTAACCCCCTCCAGCACCACTAACAATCCCCCCTTTGCCTGTGGCCCATCCATTTCCAAGTGTAGCCACATCATTTACTTTCCTACCTAAAAAGGGGGTAGGGCCACGGGATGTACTCGTGGATGTTATCCGTCCCCTGGGCACAGCATAGGGTACACTACCCGAGCGCATGCGGTGGCGAACATACCGACGCTTCACTGGTGAATATGATTCCTCACTATCACTACTCGAATGATCGTCAAGCGCAATAAAATCACAATCCACGTCAGAATCATCGTCATTACTGAAGTCAGAGGCCTGGCCACGCGAAAATATTAGTTTTCTCTTACGTTTAGGAACACCCGACCGTGAATCACGAGTGCCCACACCAGAGGTAGAAGGTCAAGGATCGTCGGGGTTTTCTGCACTATTATCAATATCCTGGTCATTATTTTCGGTCACTAACTTATCAAAGCCGTAGAATTCATCTTCATTTGCACTTCCATCAGTGTCAGAACTATCAGACAGGAAGAGGAGAGTCCCAATTTTCTGGGGAGTGAGAGCTGACTTGCGACGAGGCATGGTGAACAAGGGTGACTGAGTCGGCGTTCCCACAATGCTATGCAGGCGCCTAGATTTTTTGTTTACGGCGCACACCCACGGCGCAGACCCATTCTCTCACATGTAGGCCTATGAGCGCTTTCGCGCTAAATTTGACAGCGCTAGAATTTTGGCGTAGATCTACGGTTTGGACACTCACCAAAAAGCCGTAGATCTACGGGACGGACCCTGAAAGGGTTAAATAAGCATCAAGGTGTACATGTTATGGAGATGGCATGTGCTTTAGTTTCAATAAAGCATCAATATGTATGATTAAAGTGAGGCAAAGATAAGAACTTTTATAATAAGTAACTCAGGTTGTGACCTGAAGATAATCAGCATAGGTCACAGCTTAATAAGGCTAAAAATTGAGTGAGTGGATTGAACAGAGAACCAGGGAAGGTGTACAGTTTTATTTCATTATAAAGAAGAAAGCCTTAGTGTATTATAAAAGTATACGATGAGGAAGGAAGGCCTGAGTAAGTGTAGAGTAGCTCTGGTTGGTTTCACAAATGTCTCGCAATCAGCAGCACATTAAATTTTCTGGTGAAAGTACTACATC